CACGATAATCATTTGGCCGTGGTAGAGTACTTACCGCCAGAGAACAGCGAGGGAGCAATTCCTTTTTGTCAAGTAGTAATTTAGTCCAAATCGCTAGTAAGAGAATAAAATCCTAATCATCTGTGAAAAAAAGTTAACAGGAGATAAAAGAGGCATTGAATGTCCTGGTTAATGACGGGTTAAGTACAATTTTTACATGTCTGATTGATTGCGCCTCCGAATATAACTTCGGAAATCAATTAATTGTCCACTCTCGAACGGAAGAGGTTCTTGCGTGATCTGTGTAGTGGCATAGTCAAGCAGAAGTGCAAACTCGTCACAGAACACGATAATGTAACCGATGTTCGGTCGGAAATGTTATTCGCCAAGATAGAAAGGATTCTATGCAGCTCATTAATGAAAGAGAGTGTCCTTGATGAAAAGACTCGGATTCAGTGATTTACATCCTGATTGTAAGAATCTTTTTAGACTAATCCTCCCTACGATAATTGAAGAAATTCATTTATGTTTTTCCAGAACCAGCACTGTGGGAGTTACAAAAGGAATAGGGTTCTCGTCATGAGATCGACCTGAAGCGAGGTTCGAAGTGTGTGTCATGAAGCAGTGGCCACTGCCTCGTGAACAGGCCACAACAATCTAAAAATTATTTGCCTATCGCTAGGAATCGGGCCATGTAAGGGGAACCGGCTTTCCACATAGCTCTCCGACCTTCTGTGTCCTATAGCCACAGTTTTATGGCGGATAGCGCACACATTGCTCAGACACCGATACCGAGAATATACGTAATTATTTATGGTAAGGCAAAGAGTACCGTCAACTCGTCCATCGATCTGATGAACGTGTTTAACAGATACTTAGTCGTGAACAGGACATCCCGTACACAGAAATGAGCACCGCAAGCGGTATGCTATGGGAGTGGCTAGTTATGTCACATGTTTCAAGTAACGCCGCTGCAACGTTTAAAAGATTCGCTACAAATCTTTGAGATCTGTGCGAGTCCGCACTTCGTTTTTGTGACTTGTTCGTCTACAGCCGGAATATGGGTGGACGGAAGGATAAAGAAGTCGACCGACTTCACATCCAAAAGGTTCTTACACTGATGCGTGAGAGCAAGCTGACTACCAACCACAAGAAGTGTATATTTGTTGCTAGCGAAATACCACTGCTTGGATGCATCGTGGGTAAGCACGTCGTCCGGCTCGATCCGGACGATCAAGGCTATCACTGGATGGCCGGTGCCATTGAAATAATGAGACTTAAAAAGATCCTTGGTACGGCGGCGCATTTGCACATATACTCGCGCAATTACGCCGATATGGCTTTTCATCTCTCTCGTTTGTTTTAAAAGAACGAAATTGGTCACGAAGTGCTGATCTTTAGCACTTCTTCGAATGTACAATTATAGCTAGAAGCTCTTGTCAGTATCGGCAATTACAGAACAATATCTACCATTTTACGTGGTATGCGATGCAAGCGATTTCCCATCGGATGTGCACTGATGCAGTTTGACTCAGACGGTGCTGAACGCGTCGTCTACTATTAGTCGCATCAGCTGCAACCGACAAAAACCTAACCACCCAGTCTATAATTGGTAAATCCTTGTCATGAAGTATGCTTCGAAATTTTTTTAGAGTCAACTTGCCAGTTCATAGATCCTTAATCGTTTACATGGATTATGCGTCGATACGCAAGGCCGTTAACAGTCTACACCTTACGCAACGAACGTCGAGATGGATGTTTCTCTTTGATGAGTACAAATTTAACGTCGATAAGATCTCAGGATGATTGAATTTCGTCGCTGATGCTCGGTCGTTCCGGCCCGATTTCGAATCGGCTGCGCAACCCGACACTAATCCGACTAATTTCACGTTGTTTAAGTCAAGTTTTCCGTCGTCGCCCCTCTTTAGAGGCACCCGCAAGGCGTAAGATCTGTTGATGGTGCGTTTAATGGATCATCGCTCGAAACCATCTCGTCGATTCCTAAGAGGGTCGCCTTCAGTATGTTTATCCTCCAAAGATAAATAAACTTTTTACACCTAATAAAAGAAATTTTTAGCCGTTGTCGGCGACACACCTCGTGTTGTCGTACCATTCCATGGTGATCTGCAACTGCACATTATGTTTATGTACCACGATATACCTACTAGTGGAAATTGTGGTTGAGATGAGACACATATAAAAGTCAGTCGCGACTTCACTGGCCCATTCAGTATCAGTTCATGCGTAAATATTTCCGCACAATAGAAGTATGTAAGCTTGTGAAGTCTGGTCCTTCACTTCGTGCGCCATTGCAACCCTTGATCATGCTCGCAAGATGCCGGGAATCTGTCTCAATTGACTTTGTCTTTGGCTCCACGCAGACCCGCACAAGAATACCGACATTCTTGTGTTCATTGATAAATTCAGTAAAATGGTACATTTGGTCGCTGTGTCAGAATCTTTCAATGCATCGGCACGTGCTCGTATTTTTTTATGACACGATATTTTGTCGTCATAGGCTGTCTTGTTATCTCGTCTCCGATCGATCCCCACGCTTTACTGCTAAAATAAGGCGATTCGTGTTTAATAAACCCTGGACGCGCCTTCAGATCTCTATCTCTGACCACCCTGTATCAAATAGGCAGACAGAACGTGCCAACCGCGTTCTTAAAGGAATCCGTCGGCGATAATTCTATTAGTTTACGAGTCAGGTCAATTCTTGCCCGTGGTGAAATTTGCCAACGACAACTTGGTGCTCGCATCCACGACCTATACACCGTTCATCGTGAATGGCTAGAGATATCCGCGCCACACTCCTTTTAAAATGTAAATCCAGCTTGAGGGGATGCACTTACTCCAGAAAACGCCAAATCGGCTCTTTTTCATCACGTACTGACCATGAGGTCGCTACGTGTAAAGCCGATGTCAATGACATCGACTTCGGTGAAGAAGAGAAAAGTAAGAACGAAAGTACTTTTAATTTTTAAAACGTATCTTGCCGCAATACGCTATAAGCGCACTACAGCCAAAGATAGCGATGAAGTAGATGAATTCATACTAGCTTGCGAAAAGATTTTCCGTTCCGTGCAAGATTACATTGCAGAAGAGGTGGAAAAACAAAAGCAAAAACGCTAACAAGAATGAAAAAACAAATGCTCTTTTGTTCAATGAAGGTGACCTAGTCCTACTATCTACGCTAAGCCTATCTCGGCAATTAGTTACTAACGTGAGTTATTACAAGTAACTACCTCCGTTCGTAGATCAGATTGTGTTCCGCGCCGCTTTGGCGACGTACACACGATTGAACTGCCACGTAAGATGATCACGCATCCCACGTTCTATGTTAGTCGACTTCGGCCGTATAATTAGTATGTGACTTTTTCAGGTGAAGAAATACCTTGTGCTCAATCTTTTTCAAGATGTACCTGTGCTCGCGGTGCTAGCTATCAGACCGCGTCTGAAGTTTGTGCCCCCCCCGCGAAGCCGATAGATTTTTTGACGAGCTTTCACTAGCTCGTCCCGAAGAAAATTCTGAGCCTGCTCATTCCCTATCTGAACAAAATCTGATCGATCCCTCTACCGTTCCGAATAGAGACTTTTCACATTGCCGAGAAAATCCTGACATCTCTCTCGTGCTCGCGGTCCTCACGCAACACACACGTTACTTACTCGAGCTCACTTACATGATCACACTATTGCTGCATACACGTATGAGAACTTGTTATCTTCTCCGCCTCATCTGTTTTGATGCGCGTGGTGGCAAACGCTTCCTCGTGAACACTTGTTGAACAACCGCAATCTTAAGGGACGTCGGACGAGTTACCTCGTCCAGTGGCGCGGGTATTCACCCTCGGCCTATGCTTGAGAGTCTCGCTTTCAACTGCTAGTCAGTGCTTTAAGCCTTGTCGAGCAGTATGACAAGGCGCCTCCGATGCAATAGAAGGCCCATCAGGAAAAAAATGTCTAGCGCGCTTGTAGTGGGATTGAAATTAATCTTCCTATGTACATAACTCAAGCGAAACGTATCCACCACCACAAAAAGTCTTAGAGTAGGCATCCTTCGGCGCTTATGCTAAGTTTAACACATATGTGACACAAGAAACTCCAAGAAAGGTTCAGCATCCCGGCTTCTTTTATTAGCTAATGCAGTTTGAAACGCGCATCGGTAGAGATCCGCTTTTCATAACGACTTCGAGCTATGAAAAGCTTATCTGTGTGCACCCATCACCCCAATCTCACCAACGTCGTGGATGAAAGCGTTTCATGCCTGAATCGACGAGGGGACATCACGCTTGTGATCTCACTGTAAAAGAACGCATCGATGAATATAAAAATTTCAGTGCGAAAATTACTCGCACTAGGATTAACCTTATGAAGCCTTAATGTATTGAATAATCTTATGCGAAACAAATACGCATAGTGATAGACAAATGATACAAAACTATCTCAGGAGTATCTTACGCCTTCTTTAAGGAGCAACGAGCAAGATGTTGTGATCCCAAGTCTCTTGTCGGTTGTCAACAGAAGAACCGACAGCAAAACCATGCCTGTGATGGGGTAGGCCGTTACATGATGCTGACACCAAACGGTGTCAATAAGGAGATTGTCTCGCGTGACAATCTCCTGCCAATATTACCTGAGATAGGTAATATTGAAGGAATATTATCCTCTTTTGATAATATTCACGTGCTCCTCAAAAATTGGGTGACAAAAGACATATCAACCAAGATTACTACCAATCGCTGCTGAAAGCGCGCAATGGATGGCGAGCAGGTGGTCGTCATACGACAATATAGGTTAACATAGTTAGATCAAGACAGGATTCACATTGATAGCTTGACTATATCATATGCATCTTTCTTTTTGCCTTTACTCCAACTAGCAATTTGAGTAAATTAGCTTTCTGTGCACGTACGAGTGTACGTGAAGGATCGTTGCCAACCAGAAAAATGGTGCCCCATTACACCTGGTAGCCCTTTGTAGACCGTTCAACGGCTACTTAGTGTCCGTCTAACGTGAAAATGTTGGACGTTGAAGACGACAGCTTTCACGTCACACGTGAAGGCTACTCCCATCTGAGTGACCCAGAATGGGAGGTAGTCGGTCGCATGTGTGTACTCGTGGGCGAACCCGCCATCAGTGGTATGATGGAGCCTCTAAGCAGAGACCAGAAATATGCTGCTATCAACAAGTTCCTACAAGGGGAACTTGCCATCGAAAGACAAAAGATAGCCTTTCTACACAAGCAAGGCTTTTATCAGTCGATGGGTGGGCCGACGCACATGCGTCGACCCGAAACCTTGAAGATTGATATCTCAAGATTCAAGGGAACCGATGAAGATTCCCTTTTGAGATGGTTCGTCGAGTTAGACGATGCCATTAAGGCCCGTCACATCGAGGGTGACGAGATGCAAGTCACCTTTGCCCTGTCAAATCTGACGGGACGAGCAAGATTTGGGCCTTAGGGCTCAAGCTTCACGACTCAAACGTGTATGAGTCATTAGAGATCTTGAAGTCTCGACTCAAAGAGACGTTTAAGCCATCAAGAGCCGAGTTCAGAGCACGCTCTGCATTCTTGAGGCTAAAGCAAGGTAAGCGTGACGTGCACGCTTATGCACAGCACCTGCGCTACCTTGCAAGTAGCGTTACAAAAAACCCTGTTGATGAGCACGCGCTCATCAACGTGTTCATCTACGGTCCTGTGGATGGACCGGTGAAGACCTACATGTTCCGAGAGGACTTCCATACGCTAGAAAAGGCGATAGCGCATACGGAACAAGAAGAGGTCAGCCTGAGACAGTCTCAGGCTAACTCGTCAAACTATCGTCCAACGAGACGACAGGAAACGGGATGTCCCGAACCAATGGACCCCTGTTACATCGA